AGAGAGAGAGAGAGAGAGAGAGAGAGAGAGAGAGAGAGAGAGAGAGAGAGAGAGAGAGAGAGAAAAGCAATGAGAAAAGACGGTCTCAGTTGCTGATGGATTTGACTGATTTTCAGGGATTTGTCAGCAGCTTAGCGGGCCTCCAGGTTCAGCCTTAAAGTGCCATGAATGCTGGACTATTTATGGCCTTGGCTGCAGCCATGCTGCAATTTTGGTCCCAGTGATGCTTCTAGGAGTCCCATAACTTTCTCTTAACCTCTGGTCCCCGAAACTTTCTGCATCCTATTTCTGGAAACGTCGTACCATTGTGGTTATCAAGCTACCCATCCGTTGTTTGGCTATGCAGATTTTGAGCCCAACATGTTTGCCACCGTTACTCTGTTTTCCTGCTAACAAACAACCAGGTGGCTTTGAGCTTCATGTGCTGCAGCCTGCTGGCTATGGTGGCATCGTGACATGAGCTTCTTACGGTGAAGTGTCTAACCACCACTCCATCTGGGCCTATTTTGACAAAACAAAAGTTGCATTTCCCCGAGCGTAAAACATACCGTGCCGCCGTGAGGAAAAATAATTGTGCCCTTCCCTACCGAACCTCTACCGGGCCTGGCACTTCAGATTTTGGCCCGCCCGGAGTTTCGTGCTGCTTACTACTGTGGTGCTTTGACTTGCTCTCCTTGTGCTGCTGGCTAAGGAGGCATAGTGATATGAGCTGCTTAATTCCATTCCTGTGAGTAGAGAATAGACCCAGCCGACGTGGCTGAATCATAAGTGCTAATAAACAGATCACGAGTTCGAGTCCTGCTGGAATCAGAACAGAGTACAATACAATAGGGGATACGCTGCTAAAAACAAAAGAATCCAGAATAGTCCTCCCGATCTCTCTGCACCACCCTATTGTGTGTCTGGGTGCTGCTATAGCAAGCCTTTCGGCCAATCGGGTGAGATCCACCGCGGAGTGACAAATGCTTGGGGTCGGAAGTACAGAAGCAGCCCCCCCTTGTTTAGGCGGCTAGTGCCAAGAGGGTTGGGCTGATCTTCTTTTTCTCGTCTTTTCTTCTATTGCCTTTGTAAAAACATGCTTGCCGCCGTTGCCGGGGATAAGTAACCAGGCTGGGGCCCCGCAGAATAGATGGGGCTTAACCCAAGAGCCTAGCTCAGTGGGTACACCCATGAACTGCTCAAAATACAGACTCATGTTCGAATCCAGATGATGATGGAACTTGATGAGTAAAGTTGTAAAACCAAGTACAATTATTTCGTTTTTTTTCTTTTTTTTTTTTTCTTTTTTTTTTCCTTTTTTTTTCTTTTTTTCTTTTTTATGGTCCGATGGACCACGGATCAGATATTAAACTGATCAGAACAGATACTACACTTGATCTTAGCCAAAAGGCCAAGAAAGGTATTGAATTTATTTCTGAATTACCCGGGGCCGGTCAGCTTAATGATGACATCTCAAGGCCGTCGCGCTTCTAAAAAATAAAATAAAATAAAAAATTAAAAAAAACAGAAGAAGAAAAATAGACGGGGCTTGTGTGTTCCAAAAAAAAAAAAAAAAAACTAAACAGAGAGAAAATCAGCCGTCTCAGGCCTCCGTTTTTCTTTTGTCTTTTTTTCAGAGGCCTTCCTTCGCTGGTCTTTGATAGAAGAAACAGATTTGGCCTGGCTCCTCTACTCTCCACATGCCCAAAAGACGATACATATGGTGGTGTATCTTCCCATGCCCTAAAGCTTCATTCTCATTTTTTGCGTATTTGGTTGACTTGCGGAGCCAGGCCCATTGTGAGAGCCCAATTGTGAAACTACCCTTGAAGGATAAAGAAATGCATAGTCTCACAATCGGGCTCTCACAATTGGTCCTCACTCTGCAAGGGTAGTCTGTAGGCTCTCACAATTGGGCCTCCCTCTGCAAGGGTAGGCTCACAATTGGGCTCTCAAAACGATCATCATCACAGCTCTCCATTGTGATGATGATGTTTTTGAAAGCCGCTTAGCGGCATTCTCACTGCGCAAGTCAAAAAGGGGGATGTTCATTGACACAGTGTGTGTTGGAGAGTAGAGTGGAAATCACACAGATTATTACCAGACAGGCCAAGTTTGACACAGTGTTTGTGGGAGAGTAGAGAGGAAGTCACCAGAAAGGTGAATTTTCGACGTCTGGGGGAGTGGTGGTTTAGTCATGGGAAGAGCTACTTTTTTATTTGTATATTTTTAAGAAGAAAAAGAACAACTCTTTTTTTTTTTTTTTTTTTTTTTTT